TGTTAGAACAACCAAGGCCTGGATCTTAGGACTACAGGCTCCTCTAGTTAACCACAACAATTTGTTGAGCTTAACTTTTTATCTAAAGGAAAATGCTTTGGCAAAATTTGCCCTGCAACTAGGTTTAAACTTTACTTACAGGATTTTCAAGAGTTATGTATGGATCATCTTTGTTCGAGGCATAGTATGTTACACCAGCCATCCCAGCACCAGTCATGAGCTCCCCTAAACAATACACAATAAAGAATTTCTGGTAGTGAGCATACAAAGTTTCGCTCAGAAACAGGACACTTGCCTCCAGAAATTATTATTAACGTCTAGATATTCTGTATACTTCACATCATTTCACTCCTCACAGGAGATATGAACTCAATAAATTGACCTCGCTCCCAATGTGTGGCTTCATAGCTCAGTTGGTAGAGCAATGCACCGGTAACGAGGAGGTCACGGGTTTGAATCCTGTTGAAGCCCTGACCCCTCACGTGTACATGCTTAAATGCAAGCAATGGTATTAATGGAATCAACCGTTTTCAGTTAGTTGGACTTTTTAAAGTTCTATTGGGAAAAAGTGTTTTTTGTTGGTTTTCTTGATTGAAACCAAAAAGAGATAAAGAGATGATTGATCAGGTAGGACAATACTACCATTTCCAAGGATCGATGATGAAACTTCAGTAGATTCTCAACAACACTGTTTAACATTTGCTGCAGCCACACTCGGCAAGTTAAATGGGATGGTTTTTTAACAACCAAGTGAAAAAGTTTTCAAATGTAACCTGGTTAGAAGAGTTTAAAAATGTTAATTTTTACGAGCAGCCGGACTCAGTTTATATATTGAAAACTGAGAGAGTTGGATGGGCAGTTAAATTGTTTTGACTTTTGCTTAGGTCACTCATAACACTCATTTTGTTTGTTTGCCTTAGAGTTGCTGGCAAAATGTAATACATATAACTGATAAAAAGAGGCTGTCTTCTAAAATACTCAGTTGTGTTAAGAGAGAAAAGCTGAACTTGGATGAAAGGTGAAAGGAATAATTTTCAGAACTGTAGTGCTTGAATGTCCAGGCAAACCTAAATTAGGAAAATTCTTTAATTTTCTGCATAAGCAGAGATGATAGTTCAGTTGAAAATGTTAAAGTTAAATTTACCTAATTGTGAGGTGGTTTTACCTAATTTGACCGTACCCCATTACAAGATGAATTTATAAAGGAATATGCATGTTAGCATGTTGGCTGCATCAAGAAGGCAGAAGAAGGGCACTGCATTGAAATGCATGGGCACCATGCTGGAACAAATCAGAGTACCTGTAATAACAAGGTGGCTGAATAGCAGGCAAGTTCCACTGTATTCATTAACTTTGTTCATGAAAAAGACAAAAATCTTATTAAGGAAGGAAAGTGCATTACCTTCTACATCTTCATCACTGTCATAATGAGCCAGATCATACAGGTTGGTTACATCATCCTCATCATCATCACCTCTGCCTCTGACGCGACCTGACTTTGCTTCCTCATTTGATACTCCTTCCCCACTTTCTGCATCTTTTTCTGCCTCCTCCTTTTCCCTGAAGAGTAGAAAATGAAGAAACATTTATCCTCTGTCCATGTCTGTCTCTAAAGGATACCCCCACTTGCTTGTATCTAAGTAAAGTCTCACAACCAAAATTAAATCTACAGTGGTTATACCTTACATCAACGGGTTATCTGGAGTCCCACCTTGTCATTGCCTACAACAGCATGGCATACGATCTTTTTTCAAGTTCCATACAACACTAAGATCACACTTATCCAACCTAAGGATGCTGTTGATCCACAAGAACAAGGTGGAGTAGAGTATAAGATTCCTTGTGAATGCGGCAAAGTATACATTGGCAAAACAGGAAGATGCATGCATGAATAGATTAAGGAGCACGATGCAGATAATACGGCTTTTCAAAAACCTTTTATACAGCATGTTTTAAAAGACTTTTGAGGTTTTAACCCCTGAAGCTACAGGCAAATAAATTTAACTTGATGAATTTTAAGCTCTAATTTTTTTTCAAAATCGTGGTTGTGTAATCAGCGTGTGCATAACAAAACATGACCCCACAACAGTGTTAACATACTTTCATGCAAAAATACTCCTCTGCTAATCAGTGCGCATGTACTGTCTTAGTCATTGTAAAAGGCAATAAGACCACAGGTCAGGAGCCTTCATGTATCACAGTTTCAGTTAGATAAAAACATACGGAAGAATTACTTCTTCGCTGGATGGGATGCTACTCTATCACAGGGTAACTTTAAACCCAGTACTGTGTGAAGAAGATCACAACACTGGCCAGGAGAAACATATGGGGTCTGAATGCCCACAATCAACATTAACAATAAATTATTTTTACCAGATCAAATACTGACTGTAAGTTTATTTACCTTAGTTTTTCTTTGGCCTCATCTATTATATTTTGAAGTTCATCTTTGGATAAGGCAACCTGTCAGATAACATGATAATAAAAAAAGGTATTATGAATTATATTCTAGCAGACATTCCAGATCTACACATGTATCGTATTTGTAATTCAACTAAAATTACACTGTACTTCACAGACCAGAGTGTATAATTCTACAATGTTACTTTATGCCACAGTTTTTTTTACCTCTGTGTCTTGCATCCCTGATGCATAAAAATCCCCAAAGATGCAAAATAATACATGGCATGACATCCTGCAGGATGCAAAGATCGATCAATCTAATTTCTGTGGCAGTTATTTTGGCTGTTGTTTAATGGTGCATATTTCTTGTAGCCTTTGTTGCGCTTTAAAATTGGTAGTCTAGCAAGATGATGTGCCTGTGTTTTTATATTGCTGATCAAATTACAAGATTACCATGGCCAAAATTTGATCTACTACTATTAACACAAAGTCCTGCAAGATTCTGTGTAAAGCAGATTTTTTGCTGTACATAGCTGTGACAGATTGAGAAAAAAAGAGCTCAACATCTCGAAAATGTGCTCCCACAATCCCAATGTTTCATACCAAAATAATGCCAGTCAAGCTGTCAACCTGTGATTGTCAGCTCTTTAAGTCTCAGATAAAATAGATTAAAGTAATAATACCATAGGAGCAGTTGTTTTGCTAGGCTAATATTAGTAGAAACTTAAACTACAGAACTGTGGGAACTGCTGTTCTACTTTCATGATTCAACACATTCATGAACAAAAAAGGGTTACTGGTTGTTTTGATACAAAGTCATTTCGACACAAGTTTATTCAGTCGAGGTGTAAATATTTCCACATACTTAGCTTAAAGAACAAGAATATTCAACACAAATGTTTTTCTTGTTCAGCCGCAAACTATCCTTACATTATACTTGAAGTAAACAAAATTTTTGTGCAATTTCACTGCTTGAGTTGGTATCAAATATCAAAACAACCAGTTTTTGACAAAGGGACAGTGAGAACAGTCATTCTACCTGATTTTGAACAAATTTCTTGACTATGGGACTGTGAGAGGATAAAATGAAAACACATCATTCATTTGATCACTGCAGGACCATGGAGGTAGCTGATTAATTCTACTTCAAGGTGGCTGGGTATTCTGAAGTTGCCCGAAAACTATATACTTCAATTGCAGATCCACACCGGTTTCCACCGATTTATGTAAATCGGTCAGATTTTTCATAATAAATATATTTTAATAACAATAAAAAACTTTCCAAGTTGAAATGTATAAAATAGGTTGGACAAATGTTAATTTTTTTCCAATTTCCGGACATTAGACATGTTCTGAGATTTTCAGCTGGAAAATAACTTGTCACCATCAAGTCTCTACAACATGGAAAATGACCTTGATAAAACAATCTGGCAGTTTGCCTGTCTAAAATGACTCAGAAACCTAGGAAAGGGGACTTAAAATCCAAAAAATGCCCCGAAGGTGCATGTCCCCGGAACACGCTACAGACTCCCTACAAGCTTGCACATTCTATGCTCGTTTAGGAAATTGGTCAGTATTTATCCTACAAAATAAAGATTAAATTCCCTGCGCAGCATAGCTACTTAATGTTAATTTAAAAATAATATTGTAAAATTGACGCTGTTAAAAATCTTTTGAACAGCGTTGATTTTACAATTGTCAGTATTTATCCAAGATCTGTGCTTGTACTTCTGACAAAAAATTGTCAAAATTAGCATAACATAAAACGATATCGTCATGAACAAGAAAGATGCATTGTTCTTGAGACTTTCGTTTATACAGTCATTAATTTATTTTAAGTGGCCATTAACACAATAAATCAAAAGTGGCCTATACTATTTTAATCAAAAAACCTAAAAATGGCCTTTTACCAACTTTTTCACCTGATTTGACATGAAATAGACAGATTTGGTGGTTTTATCCAGAAAAGTGGATTTTTTTCAAAAAGTTTGGTACTTTGCTTAATGAAATAAGAAATCAGCTGACTATTGGCTGATAAGCTGAGTACCAAACGAAAATAAATATATCAATCAATAAAGTAAAATCCTTTATTTTTAGCAAATCTCATTTATGAAGTGCTAAATCAAAACAATAAATTAATGCTACATTGTAATCACGTTCCAGGCTACACATAAACTTACTTACTGCTTTGTCACTCGCTACAATGTGTACAGACCACAGATAAGGATATAAAAAGTTCGCTTACCTTATCAGGGACCGCTTTCGCCGCTCCACGTTTAACCCAAGCTAAACAAGTTATCATTTTTCACGCTCCCTTCCACTATTTGCACTTACTATTGCATAAAAAGGTGATTAAAAAACATTTTTTGTTACGCGCAGTAAGGAATTACATGCTTCTTGCTCGTTTCTTGCAGGCTTGACGTGCGACTGAATGAGGGAAGGACTGGTACTAGCAGGGATAGCTGCTGACCGAAAGGGTAACGCAGAGACGTTTTGCGAGGAAATTCAATGCTGCGAAAGGGAACGAAAGGGTCCAAACAACTCAAATATCCACTAAAAAGCTTCCTTCTAGGATCTGCACTGTCCTAAATGTTTTTTACTATTTTTCCAGCTTAAAAGTTGTTAATGAGTGCATGGCAAGAAATAGCGTGACTGTAAAATATTATAGCGTGACATATTTTTATCAGGGGGTGATCACGCAATTTTTCTTTGAATTTGTATGCATCGTAGCACCAAACACCTGCATAAGTAATAAGCGAACAGATTCAAATATTTCTTCCAGATGTAATGGAGACAGTGTCAGGAATACCTGTGGTTGATTTTGCCGCCTTGAGTGTCGACCATGAAACCATCTCAGCTTCAGATGAGGGGGTGCAGGCAATCGCAAGGCAAATTCACGAAGCGTTCAGTACAGTTGGATTTGTTTATTTGAAGAACCACGGAATCACACAAGCAAAGGTTAGGTAGCCAGATCTTCACAAGGAAATTGGTCATGACCTTAGTTTTACCGAATCCATAATTTTATCTCTTCTCTTCTTTTTATCGGAAATCTTAGCGCGATTTTTAGTCATTTCGTAAGTAAATCGACTCCGGTTTTCATCAAATTTAGGCCAAAGCGGGGAATGAGGGGAATCAAACGAAAAAAAGAAAAGCGTTATCTATCACCAAATCTCAATTCGCTGTTTTTTCAGATCATGTGTCCTTTTCACTACTTTCACATAGACCATAATGCACCTTGCTTTGTACCCCCCCCTCCCCCACCCCCAGAATTTTGCATAACCATTGTTTCCAATTTCACCTGGGTATTACAGTCGTCCCAAAAGAAATCCACGACAATGATTATACAAAGTTTTGGGAAGTAAACAAGGTGCATTATGATCTATGTGAAAATGGTGAATCGGGGGGGTGTCGACCAACATCTCGGTCGACTGTCGCTCGAAATATCGGTCCCTATATGGTTTGTGTGCATGTGTGGGTCAAGTGTCGGCTGTTATATTGGCAAGGTAGCATTATACTGTCAGTTGAGTATTGGTTGAGTGTCAGTTGACAGATTAAGACTTTGGTGACTGCAGTGACTAGGATGACTTGGGTGACTAGGATGACTTAGGCGACTAGGGGGACTTGAGTGACTTAGGTGACTAGGGTGACTTGGGTGACTAGGGTAACTTTGGTGAATTAAGGGTGACTTAGGTGACTAGAGTGACTTGGGTGGCTGGGGTGACTTGGGGGACTAGGGTGACTTGACAGCATATTAACGAATTTTAAAGTTGCATGAAGAAACTCATGTGAAAAGTTGTTTGCCATTGCTTCACAATTACTTGGAAATACATGGCATTGTTATTGGATAAGAAAAACAACTGATTTGCTTAATCAAATTCTAATTTCTCAAATTATAATTTTAAAACTTTAGTTGGGTTAAAGGGTTTTGTTTATTGTTTGATTGATTTACAGCATGTTGCCGGGATTTTGGAAGTGTGACCTGCAATCATTTGTTTCTTAATTGTTAGACTGATTCTGCTTAAACCGTTTGTTCGTGCTTTTTCCTTGTTTTGTATTGTTCAATCTTCATGTGTAAGGTTAACTACATTGTAAATAGCATAATTATAGGCTCTCTAGATGAGCCCTTTATGCTTTAAGAGCAAATGTTGAATAATAACTAAACAATAAACCTTGTACCTTGCAAGAAATTAAATTAGGAAATATTACTTTGTTAATTTGATAGGTGGATGAAACATTTAATGTTATGGACAAGTTCTTCACTCTCAGTAAAGGCATTAAAAAAAAATATGGGAAAAAGGGTGAGCTAGATGCCAATGGCTGGGAAGCCTTGGAGAGGGAAATGTAAGTCAAACTAAAAATCAGTTGTGTTACGTTTAGTTGATCAGCATAAGTATTATAACAATGTTAATAATAATATTGAAGTAGTGATAAGTGGCAGGTCGAGGGGATCCCCAACCCAAATTGTGTTCACTGACAGACCAAGCTTTAGTTTAGGTCAGCTGCATCACAAACTGAACAATTTTTGTTTGCAAGCAGCCACCTATCCTAAAGTCAGCTGGACTGTCAAAAGAAGTAAACATCTGCCATTAAAGAGTCATTAATGTGGCTCTCTGAGTATCCATCAAAAAAGCACTGGGGCCTTTATTGTATAGTAATGTTCAGAATAAATTATTTATTGGTGGTGGACAAAACACTGACCGCCAGTCCATGGACTACCTCCATGGGCTACCCAAATGGACTACCCGAAAATGGACTACGCCACTGAAGTTTAGAGATTAGGGTTAGGAAACTGAGTGAATGAAGTTTCAGGTCAGTTTTCCCAGTATAATGATCCTAAATGGAACTGATTCACTCAGTTTCCTAACTCTAATCACTAAACTTTAGCGACATAGTCCATTTTAGGGTAGTCCATATGGGAGTAATCAATGGACTGGGGGTCAGTGTTTTGTCCACCACCGTAATTTATTATACTTACGCATACAAATTATCATTTTGCATGTCAACTCAGCACTGATCCAACGAAGCCAGGTGATCTTAAGGAATCATTTGACATTGGAGCTTTTGATGACAAAAAATTTGTAAGTAACTTGTGGTTTTCATATAGATTAAATTAGTCAAGCAGTGATTATTTTCTCGCAGTGTTCTCTCAACCTTTGTTAATAGTCCCCAAAACCCATTTTTATATCTAAAAACCCCAGAAAGATGACAACCAAGAAAATGTAAAATAAATGTTAGTGTGGATACATGTAGGTTCTTTTATACTTGTAATATATTCTCGGTAGAACGTATTTCGTAGACCGCTCAATTCATTTAATTGAAGAGCATTGACTATTAATAATTACAGGAGTTCAGGCTTCAGGAGTTTAATCATCAACTGTTTATTGCAACAGTGCTGTTTTGTATGGTCAAAAATTGTAAGACGAGTGTGGTCCTACAATTTCGGACCATACGAAACAGCACTGTCGCAATAAACAATCGATGATTACTCCTCAAGCCTGAACTCCCGCTATTATTAATAGGTTCTTCTATATATACATTTTTGCAGTTAGTAATTGTTCTTAACAGCAGGGCCTAGAACAATGCTATTTAGTACTAAGGAAACCTCAAGGATGCAAGGAACCAAACCCTTTATCCCCCAAGAGTGACCCACAATCAAATCCTAATGTTATACAGTTCAACCTACCATAATTTTTATTAAAGTGACCATCCAAAATGCTTAGTGTTAAATGTTAGTGGCCCTTTTTTAATCAAATCAATTTAACCATGGGGGTCTCTCAGAAAAGAGGTGGCACATCTACTTTTTGGAAGATAATTATTGTCAAATGTGATGATATGCATGCAGTTCCATGTTTTCACTAACTTTTTTCTTCACATACTTTGAGTTAGTGTAGAGCATTACAGTGAACACAGGGATCAGACAGGTCATGTGTCCATCATAAAACAAGCATTCATGCATGAAAGAAACACCCTGTAAATCAAAACATTTCAAATATTTGGGGCCACAAGGTACTGTTTTTGGCTCCTCATAATAATTTATAAGGGTTAGTTGCTGCTAACACAATTAGTAATTTTGTTATTTGCACTTAAGCATGCACCTCCACCTAGTGCTCAGTTTTATCAGCCCACAAATTGATTTGGTATCGTTTTCAAATTTTTGCAGCGCTGGCCCACAGAAGTCCCTGATCTTCAACCAGCAGTCAAATCCCTATTTGATGTGCTAAGTCTTCTTGGTGATAGAGTGCTGTGTGCAATGGCTTTAGGTTTAGGACTGGTGAGCGAGAGCTGAGAAGAATTGTTTTAACATCAGTTTTAACATAAATTTCCAACTAGGCAATTTTAAGGTCTTATTAGTCTCATTTGCTTTAGCAGCATGACTCTAAAAATGCAAGCATTTCTTTTTTTTCGTGTTTGCGCGCCAAAAGGGGGTTATAGTCCCAGGCGTTCCTAGTGGAGATCGTGGAAACTGGGGATGAGAATCGCGACATGTCGGAGCACCATGCATATGTTTTATGAGAAAGCTAAGAAAGATTAATGCAAAAGGTGTCGAGCTTTTCCGGAACGGGTCAGTCCACAAATTCTATAGCTTTAAAGCGCTGATTACTTTTGGAACAAGTGGATACTTGTGTGGTCAAAAAAAGAAAAGTCTGTATGATTGGGTGTTGAAAACTTTTGTTGTATGCAAATGAGTCTTGTGATGAGCATGCAGTTTATGTTTGGCCATGAGTAAAATGATATGCTATATTCATCAGGTTTTTGATTTCTGGCAATGATGTAATTTCTCTTGAATCAAGGCCCTTGATTTGTGTGTATTTCTACACGCGTACTCAATCAATTCAGAAACAAATTGTTGAATTCGATATATAACGTAAATATCCTGAAGAATACTCAGCCGTCGATAAAGGGGGACGTGAAAGACTTTTAGTGACGAAATCCTGTTTCATGTAGAATTAATCGCCTCCTCATTTCTCATCTAATCTCTAAGTGAGACTTAACGCTTTTAAGAGCATTCTTGTTAAAGAGGTCATTCACAGCCTATCAGATTATTTCTTTTGTTTGAAAGATCAAAGGCTACAGACAGGGGGGAGAGTGGAAGCTGATGGATGAAGGAAACTACACATGCATTATCCTACTAAGTAAAATAAAATTTGATATTATTCTCACAGCTATAACTATTATCACATTATTATCAACTATTAACATAATGAAAATAAATGCATTGATCATAAAAAGAAATTATTATTAAATTATTATAATTATTATTTAACTCCCTCTTACTGAAGGTTAATATAATGCTGCTTGTTAAAATCAAATAATAAACTGACTTGAACATTCAACAAATCACTCCTTTTAATCTAGTCATAGTTGCTATGAGAGTCCACAAATAACCACAAAATATGCTCTACAAGGCACTTACTATATGAATTGCCAGTACACAAAAACAAAGAGGAATATATGATGCCATGTAAGTAAACAGCTTAAATAATTCAACTTCAGGCGGCATTTTATTGAGGCTAGAGATTAATGACATTCGGGTGACTTGAAAGAAAACCAAATAATTACTCTGATCATCATACTGTTTGTAATTATGAGTAATAATGTTAATTAATTTGATTATTAATAATATCATTAATAATCTGATGTATTATATCACATCATCCTTTAGCCAGCAGATACTTTCAAGAGTTACTACAAGGATGTTGGTACGCAGTGGGGCACAGCTTTGCTGCGCTTTAACTACTACCCAAGAATAACTGACTTTGAGCGCATCAAACCAGGGCAGATAAGATGTGGAGAACACACAGATTATGGAGGAATAACTCTTCTGTTTCAAGATGATGCAGGAGGTTTGGAAGTATGAAGAAACACAATTTACAATCTGTAGACACCCAGCCATGATTTTAGATAACCTTTTCATCTATTTTTTTGTTATATATCTGAATAAAAAACTGCCTTACAGTGTATAGTATTGAATCTCTGTATCCTGGGGGTACAGAGGTCCAAACCTCTCACCTCCCTTACTTTGCATTCCCAGCTCCTGATCTTTTTCTTCCTGGCTTAATACACTCTTTATAAGTTATTTTTTTAATTCAAAATTTTAAGCATCGTTGCATAATTTCACTTTAATCTGGTTCCCACCAGCTCCCCTGCGCACCTCTCCCACTTTCCTCTACAACCTCCCATACCCCTCCTGCACGTCCCAGCTATTCTTCTGGCCCCGGTAGTTCAAAACATGGATAGCGCTATATCCATCGGATAAATCACTATCCATCCGATAAGTATAACGGAAACCAATTGCACTATCCAATGGATAGTGATTTATACAGTGGATAGCGCTATCCATCTTTCGAACAACTGGTGCCTGGGCCCCCACTCTCAAGGGTGGAGGTTCTTAATTTATTTTCGGGCTTCTTTCAATTTTAAAAATTTTACAAAATCAGGTGGGAGAAAGGTGGGTTATTTGTTGGTAAAACAGGGATGAACTGAAGGGACTAATGGCATATAAACAGAGTCCTACTTTACTTTCCATTTCCTTGTCATTTAATGAAATTTCATAAATATTTATGAGCCATTTTTTTTGTTCATTGTACAGGTAGTCAATAGAGAAAAGAATTTCGTCTCTGCAACTCCAATCCCTGGAACAATAATTGTCAACATTGCTGACTTGATGCAGCGATGGACTGCTGACAAGTTCGTCTCTACGGTAAAGAAGTAGGCCACTAACTGTAACACCCTAAGTTTCATAAACAGGCCAATAATATTATATTCCACTGTAACTTTTTCATAAGTTTGTTCCTTTGCAGTAAAAATTTTTTGTTTTGTAATCTTAGCAAGGTTTCAATAGACAGTCATTTTTGGACACTGAAAACAAGGTCTTAGCCAGGTTAAAAATAAATGGTAAAAATCTCTTGTAATTTTATGGGAAAACATGCCTCTTGCATACTGGTATGTATGTGTGTTTGTGTGAGGGAGGGGGTACTCCCTATCACGGCCTCTGCAGGAAAGCTCCGCCCGAAAGGGGTAACAGACACATTATTTGCCTGTGAAAAAGTTGAGAAAATGTTCTGGTTTTGTGATTTATAAGCAGTTAAAAAGGATGCAAAGTTCTAAACTAGGTTTGGAAAGATGTACCATTTGTCAATAATGGTATACAAAAGGGTAAGTAGTTAGACTGCAGCGCGGGGTCTCCCTGTAAAAAACTTTGTTGATTACCCCCTCCCCCCTGGACATGCATATCCATTTTCAAAGAATGGATAAAAGCCAGCTGTTTTGAACAAATAAAAAACAAAAAAAGGTTTCTGGTAGCTGGCATAAAAAGAGCCCACACTATGAATTGAAACAGTTTTAAAAGAACCTACCAAGATTGCAGAAGCCAATGCAGATAATTCTGCAACTAAATCTAATGAAATCACTAACCAGCTTATCTGGTGACAGGTTCACCGAGTCATCATACCAGAAGAAGAACTCAAGCGATGCACTCCAAGACGTTCTGTGGCGTTCTTTTATGACCCTGACTGGAAGGCAAAGATTTCATGTCTTGATGGCTCAAATAAATACCCACCAATCAAATGTGGGAAATATGTCTCTCAAGTTATGAAGGGTACTTTCAGCTTCTGAAAAAACAAAAGCATGGAAATTCTTATTATACATTAACTTTTTCGGCACATCTTCAAAAATAATAATTGTAATATCTTTTACAATATAATTTCTTGCATATTATTTTTCATGAAAACGTTGTAACTGAAGTGTACGTACCCTTAAGTTTATTAACCAGTCTATACTTGTAACAGTTCTACTAAAAGATACACTGTATGTATCACTAAATCTGTGCTGAAAATTGCTGACTGCATGGCCAGTTCTTTACATATAAAGTGCAAGAGTTTTTAACAATCAGTCAATTGGATGTCATGCAACGTTGGTAGGAACGTTGCATGACATCCCAAAAAACTGTCTGTAAGGGAGACTAAGATTGGAGCTGTTCAGCTTTGCTCCAATGGAGCATGCAGAAATCACGTTGAGGTGTAAACAGAGGCCCAATCCAGTATGGTTTTCATGCTGGCATAAAAGCTATCTTGTATAATAGTGTGATCATAGCCTACCAGTAAGTCAAAGAGCTTTTTGCAACCTCTTGAAAGTGTACTTATATTTATGGGAAATTACATTGTTCGTTCTCTTTGTTCAGAAGGTACTACATTTTGTACAGTTCTTACCTGCATACACCACACTGCTGGAACTTTAGTAGACTGTAAATGACAACAAAATTCTTGTTGCTGAGAGGAAAAAGACTGTATTGAGAAGTTTAGGTAGCCAGATCTTCACAAGGAAATTGGTCATGACCTTAGTTTTACCGAATCCATAATTTTATCTCTTCTCTTCTTTTTATCGGAAATCTTAGCGCGATTTTTAGTCATTTCGTAAGTAAATCGACTCGTTTTCATCAAATTTAGGCCAAAGTGGGGAATGAGGGGAATCAAACGAAAAAAAAAAGCGTTATCTATCACCAAATCTCAATTCGCTGTTTTTTCGGATCATGTGTCCTTTTCACTACTTTCACATAGACCATAATGCACCTTGCTTTGTACCCCCCTCCCCCACCCCCAGAATTTTGCATAACCATTGTTTCCAATTTCACCTGGGTATTACAGTCGTCCTAAAAGAAATCCACGACAATGATTATACAAAGTTTTGGGAAGTAAACAGGGTGCATGATCTATGTGAAAATGGTGAATCGGGGGGTGTCGACCAACATCTCGGTCGACTGTCGCTCGAAATATCGGTCCCTCTATGGTTTGTGTACATGTGTGGGTCAAGTGTCGGCTGTTATATTGGCCAAGTAGCATTATACTGTCAGTTGAGTATTGGTTGAGTGTCAGTTGACAGATTAAGACTTTGGTGACTGCGGTGACTAGGATGACTTGGGTGACTAGGATGACTTAGGTGACTAGGGGGACTTGAGTGACTTAGGTGACTAGAGTGACTTGGGTGGCTGGGGTGACTTGGGGGACTAGGGTGACTTGACAGCATATTAACGAATTTTAAATTTGTATGAAGAAACTCATGTGAAAAGTTGTTTGCCTCTGCTTCACAATTACCTGGAAATACATGGCATTGTTATTGGATAAGAAAAACAACTGATTTGCTTAATCAAATTCTAATTTCTTAAATTATAATTTTAAAACTTTAGTTGGGTTAAAGGGTTTTGTTTATGATTTGTTTGATTGATTTACAGCATGTTGCCGGGATTTTGGAAGTGTGACCAATCGTTTGTTTCTTAATTGTTAGACTGATTCTGCTTAAACCGTTTGTTCGTGCTTTTTCCTTGTTTTGTATTGTTCAATCTTCATGTGTAAGGTTAACTACATTGTAAATAGCATAATTATAGGCTCTCTAGATGTATGTCCACAATCAACATTAACAGTAAATCATTTTTACCAGATCAAATATTCTCTGTAAGTTTATTCACCTTAGTTTTTCTTTGGCCTCATCTATTATATTTTGAAGTTCATCTTTGGATAAGGCAACCTGTCAGATAACATGACAATAAATATTAAAAGGTATTATGAATTATATTCTAGCAGACATTCCAGATCTACACATGTATCCACCAGTATTTGTAATTCAACTAAAACTACACTGTACTTCACAGACCAGTGTATAATTCTACAATGTTACATATTTATGCCAGGGTTTTTTTCTTACATGTGTGTAATGCATCCCTGACGCATAAAAATCCCCAAAGATGCCAAATAATTCATGGCATGACATCCTGCAGGACGCAAAGATCGATCGATCTAATTTCTGTGGCAGTTATTATGGCTGTTGTTTAATGGTGCATATTTCTTTTAGCCTTTGTTGTGCTTTAAAATTGGTAGTCTAACAAGATGATGTGCCTGTGTTTTTATATTGCTGATCAAATTACAAGATTGCCATGGCCAAAATTTGATCTACTGCTATTAACACAAAGTCCTGCAAGATTCTGTGTAAAGCAGATTTTTTGCTGTACATAGCTAAGACAGATTGAGAAAAAAAGAGCTCAACATCTCAAAAATTAATGTGCCTCCACAATCCCAATGTTTCATACCAAAATGATGCAAGTCAAGCTGTCAACCTGTGATTCTCAGCTCTTTAAGTCTCAGATAAAATAGATTAAAGTAATAATACCATAGGAGCAGTTGTTCTGCTTGACTAATATTAATAGAAACTTAAATTACAGAACTGTGGGAACTGCTGTTCTACTTTACTGATTCAACACATTCATGGAAAAAAAAGGGTTACTGGTTGTTTTGATACAAAGTCATTTTGACACAAGTTTATTCAGTTGAGGTGTAAATAATTCCACATACCTAGCTTAAAGAACAAGAATATTCAACCAAAATGTTTTTCTTGTTCAGCCACAAACTACATGTATCCTTACATTATACTTGAAGTAAACAAAAATCTGCTTCAAGGTGGCTGGGTATTCTGAAATTGCTCGAAAACTATATACTTCAAGTGCGGATCCACACCAGTTTCCACCGATTTACGTAAATCGGTCGGATTTTTCATAATAAATACATTTTAATAACAATGAAAAACTTTCCAAATTGAAATGTATAAAATAGGTTGGACAATAATTTTTTTCTAATTTCTGGACATTAGACATGCTCTGAGATTTTCAGCTGGAAAATAACTTGTCACCATCAAGTCTCTACAACGTGGAAAATGACCTTGATAAAACAATCTGCCAGTTTGCAAGGCTTCATCCGAGGAGAAAGGAACTGGCCAATATCCTGTCTAAATGACTCAGAAACCCTGGAAAGGGGACTTAAAATCTAAAAAATGTCCCGAAGGTGCATGTCCTCGGAACACGCTACAGACTCCCTACAAGCTTGCACATTCCACGCTCGTTTAGGAAATTGGTCAGTATTTATCCTAGAAAATAAAGATTAAATTCCCTGTGCAGCGTAGCTACTTAATGTTAATTTAAAAATAATATTGTAAAATCGACGCTGTTAAGAATCTTTTGAACAGCGTTGATTTTACAATTTTCAGTATTTATCCAAGATCTGTGCTTGTACTTCTGACAAAAAATTGTCAAAATTGGCATAATATAAAATGATATCGCCATGAACAAGAAAGATGCATTGTTCTTGAGACTTTCGTTTATACAGTCATTAATTTATTTTTAGTGGCCATTGACACAGTAAATCAACCCAGTGGCCTATACTATTTTAATGAAATAAGAAATCAGCTGACTATTGGCTGATAAGCTGAGTACCAAGAGAAAATAAATATATCAATCAATAAAGTAAAATCTTTTATTTTTAGCAAATCTCATTTATGAAGTGCTAAATCAAAACAATAAATTAATGCTACATTGTAATCACGTTCCAGGCTACACATAAACTTACTTACTGCTTTGTCACTCGCTACAATGTGTATAGACCACAGATAAGGATATAAAAAGTTCGCTTACCTTATCAGGGACCGCTTTCGCCGCTCCACGTTTAACCCAAGCTAAACAAGTTATCATTTTCCACGCTCCCTGCAACTATTTGCACTTACTACTGCATCAAAATATGATTAAAAAACATTTTTTGTTACGCGCAGTAAGGAATTACATGCTTCTTGCTCGTTTCTTGCAGGCTTCACGTGCGACTGAATGAGCGAAGGACTGGTACTAACAGGGATAGCTGCTGACCGGCAAGGTAACTCAGAGACGTTTTGTGAGTCAATGCTGCGAATGGGAGCGAAAGGGTCCAAACAACTCAAATATCTACAAAAAAGCTTCCTTTTAGGATCTGCACTGCGCTAAAATTTTTTTACTATTTTTCCAGCTTAAAAGTTGTTAATGAGTGCATGGCAAGAAATAGCGTGACTGTAAAATATTATAGCGTGACATATTTTTATCAGGGAGTGATCACGCAATTTTTCTTTGAATTTGTATGCATCGTAGCACCAAACACCTGCATAAGTAATAAGCGAAGAGAGTCCAGATGTAATGGAGACAGTGTCAGGAATACCTGTGGTTGATTTTGCCACATTGAGTGTCGACCATGAAACCATATCAGCTTCAGATGAGAGGGTGCAGGCAATCGCAAGGCAAATCCACGAAGCGTTCAGTACAGTGGGATTTGTTTATTTGAAGAACCACGGAATCACACAAGCAAAGGTTAGGTAGCCAGATCTTCACAAGGAAATTGGTCATGACCTTAGTTTTACCGAATCCATAATTTTATCTCTTCTCTTCTTTTTATCGGAAATCTTAGCGCGATTTTTAGTCATTTCGTAAGTAAATCGACTCGTTTTCATCAAATTTAGGCCAAAGTGGGGAATGAGGGGAATCAAACGAAAAAAAAAAGCGTTATCTATCACCAAATCTCAATTCGCTGTTTTTTCGGATCATGTGTCCTTTTCACTACTTTCACATAGACCATAATGCACCTTGCTTTGTACCCCCCTCCCCCACCCCCAGAATTTTGCATAACCATTGTTTCCAATTTCACCTGGGTATTACAGTCGTCCTAAAAGAAATCCACGACAATGATTATACAAAGTTTTGGGAAGTAAACAGGGTGCATGATCTATGTGAAAATGGTGAATCGGGGGGTGTCGACCAACATCTCGGTCGACTGTCGCTCGAAATATCGGTCCCTCTATGGTTTGTGTACATGTGTGGGTCAAGTGTCGGCTGTTATATTGGCCAAGTAGCATTATACTGTCAGTTGAGTATTGGTTGAGTGTCAGTTGACAGATTAAGACTTTGGTGACTGCGGTGACTAGGATGACTTGGGTGACTAGGATGACTTAGGTGACTAGGGGGACTTGAGTGACTTAGGTGACTAGAGTGACTTGGGTGGCTGGGGTGACTTGGGGGACTAGGGTGACTTGACAGCATATTAACGAATTTTAAATTTGTATGAAGAAACTCATGTGAAAAGTTGTTTGCCTCTGCTTCACAATTACCTGGAAATACATGGCATTGTTATTGGATAAGAAAAACAACTGATTTGCTTAATCAAATTCTAATTTCTTAAATTATAATTTTAAAACTTTAGTTGGGTTAAAGGGTTTTGTTTATGATTTGTTTGATTGATTTACAGCATGTTGCCGGGATTTTGGAAGTGTGACCAATCGTTTGTTTCTTAATTGTTAGACTGATTCTGCTTAAACCGTTTGTTCGTGCTTTTTCCTTGTTTTGTATTGTTCAATCTTCATGTGTAAGGTTAACTACATTGTAAATAGCATAATTATAGGCTCTCTAGATGAGCCCTTTATGCTTTAAGAGCAAATGTTGAATAATAACTAAACAATAAACCTTGTACCGTTGTACTTTTATGTCAAAAAAATGTGCAAGAAATTAAATTAGGAAATATTACTTTGTTAATTTGATAGGTGGATGAAACATTTAATGTTATGGACAAGTTCTTCACACTCAGTAAAGGCATTAAAAAAAAATATGGGAAAAAGGGTGAGCTAGATGCCAATGGCTGGGAAGCCTTGGAGAGGGAAATGTAAGTCAAACTAAAAATCAGTTGTGTTACGTTTAGTTGATCAGCATAAGTATTATAACAATGTTAATAATAATATTGAAGTAGCGATAAGTGGTAGGTTGAGGGGATCCCCAACCCAAATTGTGTTCACTGACAGACCAAGCTTTAGTTTAGGTCAGCTGCATCAGGAACTGAACAATTTTTGTTTGCAAGCAGCCACCTATCCTAAAGTCAGCTGGACTGTCAAAAGAAGTAAACATCTGCCATTAAAGAGTCATTAATGTGGCTCTCTGAGTATCCATCAAAAAAGCACTGGGGCCTTTATTGTATAGTAATGTTCAGAATAAATTATTTATTGGTGGTGGACAAAACACTGACTGCCAGTCCATGGACTACCTCCATGGGCTACCCAAATGGACTACCCTAAAATGGACTATGCCACTGAAGTTTAGAGATTAGGGTCAGGAAACTGAGTGAATGAGGTTTCAGGTCAGTTTTCCCAGTATAATGATCCTAAATGGAACTGATTCACTCAGTTTCCTAACTCTAATCACTAAACTTTAGCGACATAGTCCATTTTAGGGTAGTCCATATGGGGGTAATCCATGGACTGGGGGTCAGTGTTTTGTCCACCACCGTAATTTATTATACTTACGCATACAAATTATCATTTTGCATGTCAACTCAGCACTGATCCAACGAAGCCAGGTGATCTTAAGGAATCATTTGACATTGGAGCTTTTGATGACAAAAAATTTGTAAGTAACTTGTGGTTTTCATATAGATTAGTCAAGCAGTTATTTCTCTCAGTGTCCCCTCAACCTTTGTTAATAGTCCCCAAAACCCATTTTTATATCTAAAAAACCCAGAAAGATGACAACCACCAAGAAAATGTAAAATAAATGTTAGTGTGGATACATGTAATCAAATCAATTTAACCATGGGGGCTCTCAGAAAAGAGGTCCTGGCACATCTACTTTTTGAAAGATAATTATTGTCAAATGTGATGATATATGCATGCAGTTCCATGTTTTCACTAACTGAGTTCTTCACATACTTTGAGTTAGTGTTGAACATACAGTCAACATAGGGATCAGACAGGTCATGTGTCCATCATAAAACAAGCGTTCATGAAAGAAACACCCTGTAAATCAAAACATTCCAAATATTTGGGGCCATGAGGTACTGTTTTTGGCTCCTCATAATAATTTATAAGGGTTAGTCGCTGCCAAAAACAGAATTAATAATTTTGTTATTGGCACTTACGCATGCACCTCCACCTAGTGCTCAGTTTAATCAGCCCACAAATTGATTTGGTATCATTTTCAAATTTCTGCAGCGCTGGCCCACAGAAGTCCCCGATCTTCAACCAGCAGTCAAATCCCTATTTGATGTGCTAAGTCTTCTTGGTGATAGAGTGCTGTGTGCAATGGCTTTAGGTTTAGGACTGGTGAGCGAGAGTTGAGAATTGTTTTAATATCAGTTTTAATATAAATTTCCAACTTATGGCAATTTTAAGGTCTTATTAGTCTAATTTGCTTTAGCAGCACGACTCTAAAAATGCAAGCATTTCTTTTTTTTTCCTGTGCGTGCGCCAAAAGGGGGTTATAGTCCCAGGTGTTCCTAGTGGAGATCGTGGAAACTGGGGATAAGAATCGCGACATGTCAGAGCACCATGCATACGTTTTATGAAGAAAGCTAAGAAAGATTAATGCAAAAGGTGTCAAGCTTTTCCAGACAAGCCAGTCCACGAATTCTATAGCTTTAAAGCACTGATTACTTCCCTTGTAGAATCAGACACTATGTAGAATCTATGCAAATGCTATGTCACAAAGCTATGTAAAACCTATGTTAATGAGTCATACATTGCTTTAACCAGATCCTATGTTGTTTCTATGCCAGGACTATGTTTTTTGTATCGAAAATGCTATGTTTTCGCTAGTCAAACGGAACCTACTTAAAAGCTATGCAGTTTTTAAAGGAAGGAATAAAGGCAGAAATGACATAGTTTCCACATAGCCTATACATACAATTTACTTAGCTTTCAGAAAGAGATTTTAGACTTCATAGTCAACCTCATAGAAAAATCATAGGAAATAAATAGCCTTCACATAGGACTGAAATAGAGTTTACATAGTAAAATGGAACAGGGGCCAGTTGATTAAATAGCTTTTGAATAGGGTTTGCTTAGAATTCAGATAGCCTAGGAATAGTGAAAACATAGCCTTTTTTAAAGATGACATATACTTTGCATAGCATTAAAATAGGGAAAACACAGAACAAATAGTCTTTGCATAGGTTTGAAATAGGATTTTAATAGTATTTGAGTAGGTAAAACATATCACATACATAGCCTTTAATTAGAGTTCAAACAGAAATTACATAGAATTGACATAGTCTTTTATGTTGGTAGGTTTTGATCTGCTTAAGCAAATGTAGTGTTTAAAATACCCTCGTAAAAATCACCAGAATAGTAAAAATAGTATACACATATGAATTAGAATATCTTTTACATTGGTAAGAAATGGGTTTTGACACGAAAAATTGAAAACTATAGCAATATAATACCACGAACACACAACACAAATGCAGTATTTTCATGGAGCAGTTTCAGAATCGAAACCCCAAGTTAAAGTTTGCTTAATTTGCTTATCGTGTAGACTTTTGGCTGATGTCGTGCTCTTCAGTGCCATACACTTTTCTTTTGACTGCAACGAATAAGTATCTGCAAACAGAAAAGTTGAGATTTTAAGGCAAATGAACACAAAAACAACCTGACGTTTTAGAATTGAAACGAACGAGTATCGAAGCGTGATCGAAGGTGACCGATCCAACTTGTTCAGGTACGCGAAAAGGGGAGACAACACGGGTAAATCGAAACTCAAATTGAGAAAAACATCACTTACCAACGTTAGGAATACTTTTTGTTGAACCTGGCAGGAAAACGACTTTAAATTGAAGTAAAAAGAAGCGTCTTCTTGTAAAAACGCACGCTTTACAGTTCGTCTTCTTTGACTTGAAAGTGCCCGCGTGGAATCAGCCAATTTTCACACCTTTTCATTGGTTGAAAAGGCCCATGTGACGATAAAACGCTAAATACGCATGTGTTGAACTCACGGGCTTCCCTGGGAACTAGTGGAAACAAAATGGCTGACAAACACCGAGTACTGCAGCTAGCGTTTCGCAGTTTTGACCATGAATTTCTATTCAGGAGTCGTCCATAATCAAGACGAAGGATCGAAGCTAATATAAAAGAAGAAAATGATGCATGGAGGTATCATTTCAAGTGAAGAAACTCTAGGGAAAAGCTAGAAAGGAAAGTTAAGTCAGGAATGATGGATGTAGCGATTCAATGCTTTACAAAAATCTTCTCACTAAGAAACTATCTGCAAGCACAAAAAAAATTGTAGTAAATGATTTTTAAGTTTTTTAGTTTTAAACACTACTTTTTACGTTGGAAGTATGCTTTTTGTAAGCGCTATTTAACCTGTACAATCAACATGCCTCGTATTTTAAAAGGTATGTTGAAATATCACATAGAAAACGCATAGACTACATATTTCTCATGAGTGAAAATATAAGAAAAATTACGTTTATGTAAAAGCTATTGTAACCTTTATCTCATGATAAAGCTAAATTAAAATGTCACATACTGAAAACATAGGCTGCAAATATGTTTCATCACTTAGCATAGAATATACATAGCACTATGTAAAAGCTAGGAAACTTGTTGGAAATAAAACTGAAGATCGAGATGCTATGTAAAAGCTATTTTGCTTTGTTGCATAGTAAATACATAGGATGCAAATCGGAAGGAAAAGCAGAACTTTCTATTGCATAGTAAATACATAGCTATGTAAAGACTATGAAAAGATTTTGAATAGTATTTGCATAGGTATTAGAAAAGCTATCTACTTTTCAAATAGCCTAAACATAGTTTCAACATAGATTTTGCATACTTTGGACTATGTAGTGTGGTATGCGACATAGTTAATACATAGGCAGTAGTGAACATAACATAGCTGAAACATAGTCCAACATAGTAAACAAATAGCATGAGCATAGGTTTTGCATATGTCTGGTTCTACAAGGGTTTTGGAACAAGTGGATACTTCTGTGGTCAAAAAAAGAAGTCTATATGATTGGGTGTTGTAAACTTTTGTTGTATGCAAATGAGTCTTGTGATGAGCATGCAGTTTATGTTTGGCCATGAGTAAAATGACGTGCCATATTCATCAGGTTTTTGATTTCTGGCAATGATGTAATTTCTCTTGAATCAAGGCCCTTGATTTGTGTGTATTTATACACGCGTACTCAATCAATTCAGAAACAAATTGTTGAATTTGATACATAACGTAAATATCCTGAAGAATACTCGGCCGTCGATTAAGTGGGACGTGAAAGACTTTTAGTGACGAAATCCTGTTTCATGTAGAATTAATCGCCTCCTCATTTCTCATCTAATCTCCAAGTGAGACTTAACGCTTTTAAGAGCATTCTTGTTAGAGAGGTCATTCACAGCCTATCAAATTATTTCTTTTGTTTGAAAGATCAAAGGCTACAGACAGGGGGGAGAGTGGAAGCTGATGGATGAAGGAAACTACACATGCATTATCCTACTAAATAAAATAAAATTTGATATTATTCTCACAGCTATAACTATTATCACATTATTATTAACTATTAACATAATGAAAATAAATGCATTGATCATAAAAAGAAATTATTATTAAATTATTATAATTATTATTTAACTCTCTCTTACTGAAGGTTAATATAATGCTGCTTGTTAAAATCAAATAATAAACTGACTTGAACATTCAACAAATCACTCCTTTTTATAATCTAGTCATAGTTGCTATGAGAGTCCACAAATAACCACAAAATATGCTCTACAAGGCACTTACTATATGAATTGCCAGTACACAAAAACAAAGAGGAATATGTGATGCCATGTAAGTAAACAGCTTAAATAATTCAACTTCAGGGGGCATTTTATTGAGGCTAGAGATTAATGACATTCGGGTGACTTGAAAGTAAACCAAATAATTACACTGATCATCATACTGTTAGTAATTATGAGTAATAATGTTAATTAATTTAATTATTAATAATATCGTTAATAATCTGATGTATTATATCACATCACCCTTTAGCCAGCAGATACTTTCAAGAGTTACTACAAGGATGTTGGTACGCAGTGGGGCACAGCTTTGCTGCGCTTTAACTACTACCCAAGAATAACTGACTTTGAGCGCATCAAACCAGGGCAGATAAGATGTGGAGAACACACAGATTATGGAGGAATAACTCTTCTGTTTCAAGATGATGCAGGAGGTTTGGAAGTATGAAGAAACACAATTTACAATCTGTAGACACCCAGCCATGATTTTAGATAACCTTTTCATCTATTTTTTTGTTATATATCTGAATAAAAAACTGCCTTACAGTGTATAGTATTGAATCTCTGTATCCTGGGGGTACAGAGGTCCAAACCTCTCACCTCCCTTACTTTGCATTCCCAGCTCCTGATCTTTTTCTTCCTGGCTTAATACACTCTTTATAAGTTATTTTTTTAATTCAAAATTTTAAGCATCGTTGCATAATTTCACTCTAATCTGGTTCCCACCAGCTCCCCTGCGCACCTCTCCTACTTTCCTCTACAACCTCCCATAACCCTCCTGCACGTCCCAGCTATTCTTCTGGCCCAGGTAGTTCAAAAGATGGATAGCGCTATCCATCGGATAAATCGCTATCCATTGGATAAGTATAACGCAAACCAATTGCACTATCCAGTGGATAGTGATTTATACAGCTTGGGCTCCCACTCTCAAGGGTGGAGATTCTTAATTTAATTTCGGGCTTCTTTCAATTTTAAAAATTTTACAAAATCAGGTGGAAGAAAGGTGGGTTATTTGTTGGTAAAACAGGGATGAACTGAAGGGACTAATGGCATATTACAAACAGCTAGAGTCCTCCTTTACTTTCCATTTCCTTGTCATTTAATGAAATTTCATAAATATTTATGAGCCATTTTTTTCGTTCATTGTACAGGTAGTCAATAGAGAAAAGAATTTCGTCTCTGCAACTCCAATCCCTGGAACAATAATTGTCAACATTGCTGACTTGATGCAGCGATGGACTGCTGACAAATTCGTCTCTACGGTAAAGAAGTAGGCCACTATAAACTATAACACCCTAAGTTTCATAAACAGGCCAATAATATTATATTCCACTTAATACCATGTAACTTTTTCATAAATTTCTTCCTTTGCAATAAAAATTGTTTGTAATCATAGCGAGGTTTCAATAGACAGTCATTTTTGGACACTGAAAACAAGGTCTTAGCCAGATTAAAAATAAATGGTAAAAATCTCTTGTAATTTTATGGGAAAACATACCTCTTGCATACTGGTATGTATGTGTGTTTGTGTGAGGGAGGGGGTACTCCCTATCATGGCCTCTACAGGAAAGCTCCACCCGAAAGGGGTACCACCTTTTCCAGGTTTCAGGTATATGAAAGGCTACAGGTTTCACGTGTTCAGGTATATTTAAGGGTAGCAAAATATGTCATTTTAGTCGGTAAAAATGCCCAAAAGGGCTAACAGACACATTTTATGCCTGTGAAAAAGTTGAGAAAATGTTCTGGTTTTGCGATTTATAAGCAGTATAAAAGGATGCAAAGTTCTAGACTAGGTACGTAAAAGATGTACCATTTGTCAATAATGGTATATAAAAGGGTAAGGAGTTAGACTGCAGCATGGGACCTCCCGGTATAACACTTTGTTGATTACCCCCTCCCCCCTGGACATGCATATCCATTTTCAAAGAATGGATAAAAGCCAGCTTTTTGGAACAAATAAAAAACAAAAATGGTTTCTGGTAGCTGGCATGAAAAGGGCCCACACTATGAATTGAAACAGTTTTAAAAGAACCTACCAAGATTGCAGAAGCCAAGTGCAGATAATTCTGCAACTAAATCCTATGAAATCACTAACCAGCTTATCTGGTGACAGGTTCACCGAGTCATCATACCAGAAGAAGAACTCAAGCGATGCACTCCAAGACGTTCTGTGGCGTTCTTTTATGACCCTGACTGGAAAGCAAAGATTTCATGTCTTGATGGCTCAAATAAATACCCACCAATCAAATGTGGGAAATATGTCTCCCAAGTTATGAAGGGCACTTTCAGCTTTTGAAAAAACAAAAGCATGGAAATTCTTATTATACAATAACTTTTTGGGCACATCTTCAATAATAATAATTGTAATATCTTTTACAATATAATTTCTTACGTATTATTAATTTTTACATGAAAACGTTGTGACCGAAGTGTACGCACCCTTAAGTTTATTAAACAGTCTATACATGTAACAGTTCTACTAAAAGATACACTGTATGTATCACTAAATCTGTGCTGAAAATTGCTGACTGCATGGCCAGTTCTTTACATATAAAGTGCAAGAGTTTTTAACAATCAGTCAATTGGATTTCAGGCCTTGAACTTAATGAGCTGAACAGCTTAATTCAATTTGAGACAAAGATTCATAAAATGGCCAAATATGCCAGTTATAAATGTGTAATTATAACACCATAATGACGATTGCTCATGAAAAGTTCTGTGATAAATAAAAAAATGTTGCTAAGTCATATTTTTCAGCTGAGCAAAGCAGGAAGATTAGTTGGGCTGTTCCAAATTATAATAGGTGTTCTTCAACATTATTACTGATCAATTAAGATAACAAACTTAAAATGTTTTTAATTTAAGGTACTATGTTCGGCTCTTGAAAAGTTCAGTATCTAAACCAAGCCTAAGATGTTTTTATGGTTCCTGTATTATCCATAAACTTGTCATGACAAATAATCATAAAAAACCTCCTTGGCTGACACAAGACAATACTACAGTCAAAGCTCACTTTACGGAAACTGGCTTAATACAGACACCTCATTATTTCTGACAGTTTGTTTTGTCCCTGGGCAAAGAAAGCCCTTACATTTCTTTTAAATTCAACCCCCTTAACACGGAGACCCTGTTAAGAGGGACACTTTCTATGTCCCGCTCAGTGTCCGCATTAATGGCTGCACTGAAATTTAGTTTTCACAAAGCTACTAGTACAGAGAACAGGTAGAATGTAAGATCTAGTCTAATTTCTAAATGTCAAGTTATGTTATTTAAATTCTATAATTTTTACTTCAGTATCTGCACAAAACAAAAAGCAAAAAAAAAGCATTGATCGTAATACAGTAGAATCCTGATTTTTGGAACCACATTGCTTCAACTCATTGGGAGGTTTGACTGGTTAAGAAAAGTTACCGTAAGTTTTATTCTAATTCTATTATTGGGAATTTTGAAAAACTGAGGGTTTGAGAAATCAGGATTCTAATGTACCCTGTACGTGCAAACATTCTGTTGCACATAAAGATAAAACTTAGTGTGCACCTAAAATAATCCACTTTAAAATACATGTAGGTCTATTTGCTATTAAACTCAATTACCAGCTAAGTATGTGGTGCAAAACAAGCCTGACATTTTATGTAAGGACCTTAAAAAAAATCTTTCCCTTTTGGTAGAGTGTCTTCTAAATCAAAATACATGCAAAAGTTCCAAATTTCATTCAATTTTGTAAAATTACTAAAAGAAAAACAGTAGCAAACACTGTTTCTGGGAACGAGGTACCCTGAGATTTCATCCTGATATAGAGACATTATAACTACATTACACACATTCTAGAAGGCAAAAGGGTGAAGAGGACTGATTGGCGGATCCAGGAGGAGGGTCCAGACCCCTCCCCCCACTATCAGACCTGATGCTTGTTTGAGACTGAAACTCTTACATCGACAGGATCATATATCACTTTCTAACTGGCTGATTTTTTCAATGAAACGCACGTTGCATTTAGCAACGAAACTAAATATTCAAAAATTGTTTTTTATTATCAGGCCAGGGGCATGAAATTTATCTTTACCAGGTAAGGTGGAAGGTAGTTTAAAACTACATGGGGAAAGGCCATTTAATGTTATTAACAGGCTGGTGACAATACTGTACGCTTAACTATTGATGTGCTATAGCACATCTTGTTTTTTCAACAATTAACAAAACGTCTTGTCAAAAATATTATAACCTTAATCAAGCCAAGATATGCCAAGTTTATGGCTCACTTCATCTACTACCAATTTTACCAGTCTGTCTCTGGTTCCTCGATACCCTGTCGCCTGGAACACGTCACGTTATTGCTTGCTCCATATGCATACTTCCATAAACAAAACCAGTTTTTTTAAAGTTCTGGTGAGAATAAAGCTAAAATTGTCCTGTTACTAGGTTGAGCGGCCATTAAAATCTCCCGAAAACTCTATGCATCGTTGCCATCATATGTCTCTCCAAATCCGCAAAACGGTCGAACATCCCTCCATAGCCTCCAAAAGGATCGTTATATGTTGGAAAGTCGTCCCAACTACGACCTTCAGAGCTTCTACGGTTGTCCCCGCGACGACTTCGCCTTCTGTCTCTTGAACCGCCTTCGTAGTCAGAGAATCTGTTGTCGAACATGAAATCAGGCTCGTCAATAAAGAACCGGTTAGAAAACGGATCCTCGAAAGCATCTGCGTCGAAGAAGTCCGAATTTCGTCCCCTGTTACGCCTTGTAGAAGTGTTTTCACCGGTGGTAAAATCGCGAAAGCCAGCGAAGGTTTGAAACGCCATGTCGAAAATGTCGTCAAAGGAAGAAGTGCCAAAGAACTCCCGGAAAACTTCGTCTGGGCTTCGAAACATTTGAGAGGAGAAAGTTTGAAAGGTGGCGGCGAATACATCATCATCATGTCCCGGAGTCGCCGAGAGGCCTTCTTTTCCATACCTATCGTATATTTCGCGTTTTTCTTTGTTAGAAAGGACCTCATATGCCTCAGAAACCAGCTTAAATCTTTCCTCTGCCGCGTCTTTGTTGTCCGGGTTTTTGTCGGGGTGCCATCGCAACGCCTGCCGTCGATAGCCCTTTCTTATGTCGTCTTCTGTTGCTGTTTTTGGGACTCCTAATATTTCATAATAGTCCTCCGACATTTTAGTGAGGGAAGACGAGTTGTCATTTAAATTTCTCGAAGACTTATAACGACATTGCTAACCTAAAAATATTGGTAAAGTGAAAGCGCGATGGAGAGCACATTACATGCGCTCTAACAGTGGATGACGTCATAATGGAAGTGCCACAGACAACCCAGTGTAAAGCCCCAAAGAAGAGAAAGTGATGAAGAAGGAACAAAACAAGTTTAAAATGATAAGACACAAAAATTATACAAATTTGCACGATATTTTGGTTTGCAAGACAAACCCTCCTAAAGGGCAAAAAGAAAAATGAAGGTAAAGGAAACAGAAAGGAAGCTATTCCCATCTCTGCTTCTTCTCAGTCTGACGTGTCTGGGCCTTGTGGGGGGAAAAGAAACCCTTCCACCTTTTCCATATTCTTTGCTCATACTTTCGCTCCGACTCAGTTTGCCCAATACGAAATACAGTAAATACCCGTGACTAAGAACCTGTATTTACTGGTATTCAGCTCACTCCTTAGCACAAAATCTGTTTACCATTTCAATTGCAGTTGGAGTAATAAGGCAAAATAACTCTTCAAAGGGATCCTGAATGTTGACCTATCTTCTTCGCCCAAGTGTACAGAATCTTTTTTTTTTTTTTATAGACTTTTAGAAAAACAACCTGTTTCAAAATTTAAGGATAAATAGAGGGGGCCAAGAGCCATAATCCCATTATGGCTCTTCAGGGGACCTAACTTGTAAATTTTAATCTTGCAAGCAAGGACTAACTTACAAAAAAAGAAAGACTGGATCCTAATAAAGGATCTAATCAGCTATAATTGGAAATATAGAAACAAAAGAACAATGCTGGTTTTACAGTCAGGAATTTCTTTTATTAATGTTTCGGAAGGCACGATCCTTCCTTCTTCAGGGTCTTACATACAATCTTCCTTCTTAGTCGTGGGTTTTGATGCTGGTAATCTGGTCCGTTAGCCTGTCTCACTACCCGGGGAAGGGGTGCTGTGCTCACTCGTTTTAAACTTTGTTGAAAAATATGAAACGGCAAACTGATCCTTACGGCAAGGCGATGAAGAAGTAAACAAAAAAATAAAACAAATATATATAATATAAGGTATCTGCACAATAAAAACGATGGAGATGTTATTGGTACAGGACGGATTGTTTTTATTATCACTTTTTCAAATTCTTATTTGTAACGAAGTTTTAAATTTATTTCCATTTTTCTTTTAGCCCCTGAAGAAGGTTTGTTTTCAAACCGAAATATTGGGCAATTTGTTTAAATATATATGTTTTTGTTTTATTCTTTTGTTTACCTCGTCATCGCCTTGCCGTAAGGATCAGTTTGCCATTTCATATTTTTCTACAAGTTTAATTGTACTGATCCGAGATCAGCCTCTATTTTCGTTTCGCTTTGAAAATTACATTAGCGGTAGCCGTTAGAGAGAATGTATGAGAACCGCTAAAATTGGGCCTGATCTCAGGTTAACAACTGGGAGATACGGCACCACTCATTAGTTTGTTGCCGTGGACTTGCCGACATTTTATGAACTTTTTTGGGCTGCCTGTGCAAAGACGTTAAAAAGAAAGACAAAACAGAAGACTCCTCCCCAGGACTTGCCGCTAAATCAGAGAAGACTCTGGGGAAAACTACAAGTATCTTTTCGAAAGCGTCAAGATCTCAAGATCATCGTGTTGGAAGAAGTTCACAGCGTCTTTCACTGCATCTCTGGCCCATTTGCTCATGTGAAACTTCAGTTTTATCCATTTAATGACAAGCAAGAGCTTGTTTGTTATCTATGAAAGTCGCGGGTAGTCAAATCGATGGAAAACAACTTCCTAGAGGAAAATGCTGAGGGTGTAGGAGTCGAACAAGAAGACTCCACCGATAGTGAATTAGAGGAGTTAAACGCTCGCGTTCCGTTTGACATTCCTCCCCGAGATTTTCCCAGACACCTTGCGAGGAATAATTTAGAACCGCAGAGGAATACAGCAAGAAACAGAATGGATCATAACATTCGCAGAGACGTTCGTTCGCCTCCAATTATTCAGAAGCAACGAAACAAAGTGGTGACCCAGATTTTACCAAGAAACGCTCAAGTGGCTGATTATACGACCGACAAAATTACCCTTGTAGTTGACGATACACGTTTTGTTGTGGAAAGATCGCTGTTCATCGCTCATCCAAACACCATGCTCGGGAGGTAGGGCATTTTATTCTTTTAAATGAGTCAGAGTAAATACGGAGACTAAAAATGGGCTGTAAGACGTGATATTTTAATTCAAGTTTGTATAGCTCACGTTGTTCATGCAATTAAACTTAAGCCATATTCTTAGGCTTTGTCCCGCTTGTTCACAGAGTTGAATGTGAAGTCGTGTCCTTGTTAGTTGAGTTCACTGGTCAGTGATGCTCAAGTCTGCATTTATTTTTTTCTCCTTATTATTATAATATGAATATTGTAATAATAATAGTACATTGTAATAATGTTATATTTGTTATTATTTCTTCAAAATATTGCTCATTGATTAAAATCCTTTGGTTATTGTTATACATGTAGATGTCAGTTGAGTTCAGCAATGACTTTAGCATTACAGTAATAGCCCGCTTATAAGAAACTGGGTTTTAAGAACCTGTTAGGCTAAAATTTTCATTTTAAGCCCCCTCCACATAAGAACCTACTTAGGCTAAAATTTTAAGTTAGGTTCTTATCAGTGGGGTTGCTGTAAAAGTGTATAGGTAGAAACTGCTGAATTAAGATCATCGTCTAGGACATAATTATGCTGTACCTGCACTGAACTGCCTATAGGCATTGCTCTATGGTACAAATAAATGATTTATTTAAGCAATAGACCACACTTTCTATGGGTTTACTGGCGTGATAACCCATGCGGGATGTTGGGAGAACACTCGAAAAGCTTGTAAATCACTCGCCTTCGGCTCGTGATTTACAAGCTTTTCTCGTGTTCTCCCAACATCCCGCGTGGGTTATCACGCCGGTAAACCCATAGAAAGTGTGGTCTATTGCTTTTATAAAATAACTTCTAGAAGAATGGAGTGTTTTCGATAAAAAATATGGTTCTAGTACCGTGATCAAGTCACGTCTTCTCTCTAAAGTCATCATAAGCCAATCATGACTCACGATTTAATAGTGTTGAACTTTCTCAAAACTCAGTTCAGTCAAACAACAAACAACAGCACTTCAAAACACGAGTTTTTGCACTCATTACATGATAACTTATGAAAGTTGCTTTACAGGAAAAGTCAACACATATTCATGCGAACATACAATGAAAGAATACGTTCATGGTTTGTTTACTACAAAAGTAGAAATTAATTGAACATCAGACTGTACGCAGCTGTATTTTGTTGAGTCGATCCTTAAGAATTTCATTGTTACAGACGGAACTGACAGCTATTGTAATGGAGGACTTCATTCACTTTTTACAAGCTGCAGTGGTTTGAGATCTGTTTTCTGGACTATTATGATCAAGAAATGCTGCGGTAACGACGTGGCTGCATTTGCGAAGTTGTCGCATGTAACTTTATATGCGCGTACAGCGACCGATGGAAATATGTCAGTGGTGGAGAAAGGTTTCTTTGCCGTAGCCACATATTGGCGTAAATGTTTGTCGATTCGTGAAGTCAGGTGGTTTGAGGTAGGTTATGGCATCGATATCACCGAATAATTTGTGCAAATGTTGGAAAAAACCGGCACGAAACTCTGACATCTTTCATCATCGTTGGCAGCTTGTTTACAACCTACAGCGGCAGATTTTGTACCATATCTTGATCAGAGATCTCTTTTTGGAACAATTTCTTTCATTAAGGCATTTGATTTTGACATAAAATAAATCAAGAATGCTAAAACTATCCGTTTTGTTGCTGGTTGGCACATGGGTAAGTTTTCCTAGAGACTTTCTACACCAGAAATTCACACAGTTATTGTCTTTCTCTGCGATTGGCATCGTCGTGAAATGTAGACTGTTTTCCAGCTTTGTACTTTATAACTTCTAAAGCTATGGCAGTAGTGAATTGTGAGGCTCAGTAATAAAATGTGGAAACCAACGTTTTTAATATTAAGAAGGGCTGGGTAAGTAACTTGTTCTGTTTTTTAGCCTTTCTAAAATCGTTGTTTGCAGATCAATAGCGGGTTTGGTTTATGGCTCGTGGTCCGGATGCCTTTTTCTATGGGTTTACCGGTATAATAAACCATAGGTTTTTGACCAATCAGATCACGCGTACTATCTCAGTTATTTTATAAACTGTATTATGAGATGATATTTATAATATATATGTATATTCAGGTGAAATTCAAATGAAAATATAAGAACCTATTTTAAGAACCTCGGTAGCCTAAATTTGCTTTAAGTACCATTTATATAACAACCTTTTTAGGCTAAATTGAAAAATTCAGGTTCTTATATGCGGGCTATTACTGTAGTTTGGTATTATGTTATTATTTTGTTATGGCTGGTTTTCACAAGCAGAGGAGTTGGGGTCAGGTTTTAAGCAGAGTTGTAAGACTTTATGAAGTAGCAAATGTACTGTAAGGCTCTGTTCAGACCCTGAAGCTATCATGAGCCCAACCTAATACATTAAATTAAGTACAAGAAAATTTTGATGTTTTAATCAATGAGGAGCGCCTAGAATTAATATTATTGGGAATGTCTTAATCATCTAGGAACAGCTCAGCTGTTCCTCCCGCCAAGCCCAACCGGAGATTTTGACTTTGGAGCGACTTTGGAAGGGCTTTGAATGTTGAATGTTGAACTTTTCATGTGCTGAACCAAACGCATAAATTATTGCAGCATATTATTTTGGCACTCAGTTTAACTATCAGAGCCTTTTTTTTTCCTTTTGAATTTACTTCAATGTCTGAATCAATGCAGCTGGTCTGAATAATTTGGGTCGGCTTTAAATTGAATTAGGTTCAGCTCATGAAAAGTTCGGTGTCTGAACCCGGTTGATCCAAAGCTGTTTTTCAGGTTGATCTGACAGTTGAACTGTTTATTATAAGA